ATATTGTGTTGCGAAATTAAAAGTTCTCAACCCCGTGTAGTAATAAATTGTATTAGTTGAATATATGTAATTACAACGCGACGGAAATTGTATAATAATAAATGTTTTATATTCTTCTGGACGAACACAACTTCATAAGAGGTTCTTTATATTAGAATGATTTCTAACCCAAAGAATAAAATTATTCAAGAAAGCGTTAGTGAGAGAGATTAAGATAAGAAAAAGTATTCTAAGAAAGCTCGGAGATGCATTTCTACAATAAAAGTGTACAACTATTTACAATTTTGTTTCACGATCAGTTATACCGTCCCTACTTTTCTTACGTTAGTATAGAGATAAAGAATAAAAGAACTGCAACATTCCGACGGAATTTATGCGAACGATCTATCTGAGTAAGCACAATGGGGCACGTACGGCAGAATACCGGTAGTAATGTGATAGTTTGTTTACGAAGCAATTCTACGTAAAAACGATAGCGACTAGCAACGATGGAGAAGAAACAGGACCACCGGAGTTGATTTTTCTCGTCACAATCATTTGTTTGGCGTCGAACATGTCGACGAGATCACGCGCGTACACGATAGACCAATACTAACCAGTTTAAATCCGAAATCGTGAGTCCTAAGCGCCACTTCAGCTAGATATCTGTAAGGACGTTTGGCCTATCCCCACCAGCAAAAAAGGGCTTCAAGTCCAAGTTGCAGGGTAGGTAGATACATACCAGTCCTATTGGTAAGCGGTCAGTATGAGTGTACGGTGGCCTACGGGAGGAGGCGCGAAGTAGAAGATACGCACGTTTATTCCTAAGTAAAAGCTAATATTGTGGAAAAAGTGATATTGCTAGATACAAAGTTCAAGTGTGCATATGATTGCTGTGTAACTAGGCTGTGAAAACAAGATTTTGAACATACAATTGATCCCGAGATATACATAGGTATGTTTGTCATGGCTTCAGAGAAAAATTTTTTTACGAATGTTCATGTACGAATACAATGTTGCAATGTATGTTTTTCAACCAGGAAATAGACTCTTACAGAATGCCGAATGATCCTGAGATATTTTTGCTTTTAACGGGTTAAACAACTGTGTAGAAGTGACAGTTTGAAATAGTTCGTAACGAACTGTACGTGTATTTTATTTTTCATCTGGAATTTACTGAAAAACCAGTGTCCTTATTGTACATGTGCATATGCATGTGACCACGTGCGGCAGAGAGCGATCTTCACTTGTTCGAGCATGGAAATAAGATTTTTGTAGCACGTCGTAGTATTTAATTTTCTTTGTCTGTACAATGTGTATAAAAAGTGCAGTCGCTTTTGATGTAGGCTGTGTAGGGAATAGGCTTTAGTTACTTACACGATTCTTTTTCTGCAGGTAATCTTTGATATGTCTTCTTATTTCCTTCGTTCTTCTTATTCTTATTTTCTTCGTTCCTCTCGAAATGTTAATCATGATTAGATTAGATGAATGAGATCTTAATGAATTTCCTAATTTATTAATCTGCATGTAGACAGTTTTTAAAAATTATTCTTTAAATAATAACTCTCGATTTAGTGGATATACTTTGTCCACAAACTTTTTTCAAATTTTTATTTCTCGTCTATTTGAAATCATTCCCCCAATCGTCTTCACATGAGTTTTTTATAATACGTCTTTCAGAACATTACTGTTCTAGTATTACGTAGAAATATTTCTGAATAGAAAGCTCCCCTTGTCTCTTGTCAGTATTTAAATCGCTTTGCGTGCATTCATTAATCAATGAAGATTGATGTTTTTAATCTGTCAGAGTTTTTGTTTCCGAGGTCAATTATTATCATACTTCCGGTGATAAGAAAGGAATCATGCTCATCTCATTACGAATTAACGTGACGCATTCAATATTAATTTGTTATCGCGATGTATCGTTCTCAAGTCGAAGCTGTACGCTTTACAATTCTAGAGTAGTAGATCGTGAATAAAAGGGAAAGCATTTTAATTCAACGGTACTACTGTTATATAACACTATGTTGCATTCAAAGCATGACGCGATAGAAATTTTGTCGTTATATTCCACAAGACAATATTGCTCGGCGTGTTTTATTCGAAGTCGTGTGAATACAATAAGTCTTGTGTACAAGAACAAAGCTAAAAGGCAATACTGAATTATGAGCCTTTATGTGCCCCGTCTCGTATTCGGGTTTTTCGGAGAAAAAAAACCCAGTAAGGGTGAGGAAATCCTTGAGAAAAAAGGGCTCGACATAGTTTTGGAGAAATGGGGTCCAGACTCAGGTACATTGAGAGGTAATAGTTCTGGCGTCAAGATTGGGACCGATAAGGGTTGATTGGCGACAGTTTCAAATATTTTAGAGCTAAACTTCCAGCGAAAGTGTCTCGAAATTATGTTTCACCTTACAATCCTAAAATTTGTAAAGACTACAAATCTCTTCGACAGTAATATATTTTTGTCATTTAATTTTCGTGGTTACTACAAAAACCGTTAACAGCGGCCCGCTTTTCTCTGCTAATTAGCAGAGGGTAATCTTTTATGCCCTGGTTTTCACGGTGACACAAGAGGCTGGTAGACGCACGTCCATGGGTAGGCGTAGGTCCGAATTTATAGTCGTTTCTCAGTTATCAGTTCTCAATCTCAGTTCTCAATCTCAGTTCTCAACTGCTTGTTGCATATATATATGTTTCGTGATACATGATGTAAGAGGACTAGGAATTTATTTTATTATTATATTATAAACTTCAATCGTTATGATCAGCGAAACTTTATTCAACAAAACAGCGAAAGCCGGAAAAATGAGTATGATGTGACTCGGTCAACAATCGACTAAAAAGTGCCCCCTCAATTGTCCTTCGGTCCTTTTTTCCAAATGCGTTCTACGCAAGACTTTTCCTAACGGACCGGACCCTCTGCGTCGTTTTCGGGCCTTACACCAAACATTCGAGTCCCAACGCATAAACATCTGGTTTCCATCATTTTGCGCCTTCGCTCTCTAGTTGCCTACCTGCTATTTACTCTTACATATTCTCGATTTTCATCAATCGTATATCACGAATACAAAAATATGCAACAAACAGATGAGAACTGAGAAACGACTATAAATTCGAACCGTAAATGGGAAAAGCATACTGAGTATACAGTAATCGGTCCCTTCTCATATCGCTCTATCAATGGGTATAAACAAATGTGTCAGAGCCCAAACATCTACTTTTCTGTTTACAAAGTTATCAGAGTCCAATCATGCTCTGCTGACAAATTTACGATTGATTTAATTTTGTCGTGCAACTCCTAAAAAGATCATTGTATTTCCTTTCCTAATTCATGAAAGGGCCCCTCACAACTTTTCCATCCTTTTAAAATGCATTCTCAAATACTACAACCACTTGATTGCTATCAGGTTACCACCGATCGAGCCCGGAAAACCCAAGGCCATAAAACTGCAATATTTATGACTTCCCGAAAAACCGCCTGTCTTGTACGTGTCCTCCGGTCCCATTTACCCATCTCGGAAAAGCTCCCTTCTTCTAAGAATCTCCCTACCAACGGGCTACCGCCCTTAAAAACTAGTATAAGAGAAGGCCCTTCCAGAGCCAAAGACACAGTTGTCAGTCAGATTCTAACTCGGTTCGCGAGACTTTGTGTAAGGAACAACTCAGTAATAAACTCTTAAAAAAGGAACCCAGTCTTGTTTCTCTGGGATTCGACGACAATTTAAAATTGAACTATAAGAGGAATAGGACGAAAGCTCAATTAGAAAGGCGTCAAATGATAGAGTCCAGACGCCCAGCCGATCGGGACCCGAACTGTTTATTTAGAATAAGATCGATAATGGAACGCATGGTCTTCTCGGTGGATGATGTCATGAGACTGGGACTCGATGGACCCAGGCACTTTTTAGTCAGCCCTTGACTAGCACGCATCGTCTTTTTGCGCCTATGCCGAATTATTTAATACAGTTGGATTTTCAAGACATAGTGTGTATTTCTTACAGAAGTTAAAACGCTTGATTAAAAAAGCACAAATCTTAGGTCAGAGTCTACGTTTAACGAAATACAAGCTACGTGTAAGCTAAGACTTTATTCAACGCTCAAAAATATCGCAGACTTTATTTTCCATATACGACGTGTTCGCTGTTACACGTTTGGACGCTCGCAAAGAACTATCCTGCTTCGACACGTCGCTCTCTCAGCATCCTTCTCAAGAGGGTGAAAGTACGTCGTAGCCTTATCGGCCTGGCCCAAACAATGTGGCCCGAGACTCGGGCATCTGGTTTCTATCAAGCTGGCACTTATATGGAATCAAATTTCTTGGCTCTGAATTTTTTAGCTTGTTTTAACAATAAATTATTTAATGTTGATCTTCGTAGTAAAGTTTCAATTTTCATTAATTACTTCACCTACTGCACAATTTTCTTTAATATCAAACTGTTAATTTAAAAATGAATAATGACTCCTCTTGTTCAGTTATATCGACGTATTTATGACTATTTATCATCTAGCTTTGAGGAACTCGATAATGCCGATGGCACATGTCCTCATGTGTGTAATCTCAACAGCGAGCACCAATTATGGTACGCCAAGTAATCATACGTATTCATATTATTCACTTTGTTTGGGTCAAAGTGCGAATGGCAGTCACAAATAAAAGAAGCCTATTGGTCTACTAAAGATAATAATCTTCGTTTGATACCGGGATATGCCTATAAAATGAAGAAAGACCATTCTTTGGAGTTAGTATTTGTCGAACGAGTGAGCGAGTTCCGAGCCAAAAGTCTGGAATCGTCATGATACTTTAATAAATAATACAAGAATTGTATATTAAAATCCTGAAGATTCATTGCAGTAGTGAAGGCAATTATATAGTTTACATTCGTCTTTAGTGAACGTTCTTTTTTTCCGATTACGTATTTTGAACAAAAGACAGTCAGGAAGGAGGGGATTTCGATCGTAAAAATCGTTGCTGAGCTATTAAAAACGAGCGGTGACGGTTGTAAAACGAGCGTGACACACGATTCCTTGAAATCGACCATCGTAGAACACTGATAATATCGTTATCGCCACCTCCTGCTCTTAGCTGGCATAAATAGAAACGAAGTCCAGTATCTCAGAATTAATCGGTCGAATCGTTTAACGCGGGAGGGATCAACAGAGGGTATTAAACAGACGTTAATTTGTGACGATGCCGACAACTACACGAACAGCATCGGTTACATCGTGCGATGGCATGCACTTCGCCAATTTCGTCTTGAAACATTGGCTTTATTCTATCGGACCAGCTCGCCGTGTCGAAGTATTGAAAAAGGTGCGATCTACATACATATATGTATACTCTTTGTTGTGCCTCTTGGGCAAGGCAAAGACAAGATACCCGCTTTTTTTCTCAGTGTTTATAAACTGGGAGTAATAAGTTGGGACGTACCTGACGAATCGAAACGAAGCATGACTGTAACGTAACGTTAATAGGTATCGTCATCCGCGGTGTAGGTCTTTTATTTTCTTTTACATTTTTCTTGTTACCTGCGAATCCCCTGTGGTGATTACCTAATTAGTTCGGCGATATTACGGGAATCTGATCTTAAAACGCGGTACGTACTGTTTGTTTTAGTTGAGGATTGGTCTGCAGAGTTTGAGACTATCACGAAGACAAGTACACTATGCCTTGGTACAGTTATTAGCGTCGAGAACGTGCGTGATCCTTGTGCGGGAACCATTCCATAAGAGACAAGGGTAAATTTTTCATTGTAATAATTAATCACTTCTTGAGATCATCGTAAATATGACGAAAATACGATGTTAGATTTTGAAAAGAGACTTCAAGTAGCCGTAGTGTAACGGGAAATTAATAGGTAAAAATTTTAATATTCATATAAATATTACGCGACCATAAAGGGGACTCACATATGTAAATGTAACAAGCAAGTAAGTATGCGTACAGACGGTTATTATTCAGCGCGTGCTGCGACTGAACAATCGATGAATTGAAACTTGAGAAAGAATGCATGGGATGTCTAGACATTTCTTTAAAAATAATAACAAGCGATGCAGACGAGGAATGATGTAATGGACTAGAATAAACCTTTAAAACGAAATAATATTCGATGTTCCGAGGAAATGATGCATGTCAATAATAAGTTTTTCAGTAAATTCTAGAGATGTTTTATTCGTACATGACACATTACAGAAAATTATTTTTTGTCTAAATATTAACCCTTAGACTGTAAAGAACGGTGATTTGCAGTATATTTAAATTATATGTCAAAATCATTGATAACGCTGAACATGAATTCTTTTAAATTTTTTAAAGAACTATTATAGACTAAAAAATGCATTAGACAGGAAATATTGTTTTAATTCATTCACAGTCTAAGGGTTCAAATCAACAGATTGAATCCACGTTAATGCCATAATATTTCTATTTTAGATCAAAAATTCCAAAGGAAGAAATTGAAGAAATAGAAATTTTTGATTCAGATAGTTCATTTGTTGAAGAACGTTCTCAGGAGAAATACGAGGATGTACCAAAACTGGATACACCGAAGTTTATCGGAAAAGGTCATGATCAAAGAATAGATGGTATGAATGTATATGAAGTTTTATCGTCAAATAGCAATCGGGACTACATTTTTCATAAGTCAGAGAAATCACCAGCAATAATGCATCCTTTTGAAGAAGCTTTAATGCAATTTGAATCAGTTGTTCCAACGAAAATGAACAGAAAATCATGCAGTAAGCGAAAAAGTTCTGCCACTGTCTCGTTGGATATAAAGAAAAGGTCTTGCGAACATGCGAACCACGTTACCGTTATAGAAAATAAGAGTAGCATAAGTGAAGAAACAGTTCCTAATGAAGCATTAGCTAAGGTAGAGATAAATACAATCCAAATGGCTGATGAAGTTAAAAAGGGTCGTATAAAATTAAATCTGAACTCTTGTTATAGCAATAAATCTAGCAACTACGTAAAGTCAGAGGCTTATAAAAAAGTAGATAGTACAAAATTGGACGATGACAAGGAATTACGTGTTGTAAATATTAACGTAAATTCTGCAGCGAATAGAAATAAGTACTCCAAATACAGAAGGAATGAATATGTATTGGCTGGTACCGAAGCAACGGCATTTGAATATGATGCATTGACAACGTTAGACCGCAAACAAAGAAAACGAAGGTCCGTTAGTCAGAATACGAACAGGCACCGGAGAAGAAGGATATCCAGTAAATTCCGTACATATTTTGGAGATTGCATTACTATAAGCGAAGACGAGCAAGAACGGGATATATTAAAGACGACATATAAAAGGAGAAAAAAATTAGTTTCTATAAACTCGTGTGATTCTGGAGTATCTGTTACTAATGAAAACGGAATCGTAGTTGACGTACAAGTTTACAAAGATATCCAAATAGCGATACCCGAATCAACGATGAATGACACATCTTCTGAAACAGAAAATAGTGTAACAATTGATGGACCAAAGGAAAACATCCTAGCGCATTCAGTAATGAATGCAACCATAGAAAATACTAATATACATGACGAATCGGAAGAAGAGAATAATAGAGAAACAGTAATAAAAGTACATTCGTCAATGGCTGAAACATCTGATGAAAATACTTTTAAGAAGACTATTGTGCATTTTAATGAATGCAATAAATCAAATGAGATTGTGGAAGATAAAAACAATGAGATACAAAATGAGGCACAAGCAAGAACGCAGAAATCAATCGACTTAATTGACGAGGGCATATGTCTATCAGATTTTTCAAAACCACCCCAAGTAACCGAGAGATTAGTAATCAGTGTTCCTATATCAGAAACGGAAGCAGAAGAGAACGGTACTACGTTATGTTTGGACATGCCAGATATTTCTACCTCAGACGATGAATTAGTCATAAATGAAGATGCGTTTGACGTTCACGAAAGTACAGTAGATACTACAGGTTTAAATAAACATGATCATGTAGATATTATCGAAAGTTGCGAGGTTCCATCAGAAAAGGATCTCCATAAAATCAAGGAAGATGTAATCAAAAGTCTTACCGATGAAACAGTCGGCGAAAATTTGAATTCAACAAATACGTCAGAAGTAAAAACAGAACTAATTGTTGCCGATGAAATGACCGGCGAAAACTTAAAATCAATAAATACGCCAGAAGTAAAAACAGAACTAATTGTTGCCGATGAAATGACCAGCGAAAACGTGAATTCGACAAATATGCCAGAAGTAAAAACAGAACTAATTGTTGCCGATGAAATGACCAGCGAAAACGTGAATTCGACAAATACGCCAGAAGTAAAAACAGAAGTAATTGTTGCCGATGAAGTGACCAGCGAAAATTTGAATTCGACAAATACGCCAGAAGTACAAACAGAAATACAAGATAGTGAAGAAGAAGTACCATTGATCTCTACTGGCGGAAATGACGCGGATACAAATTTTGTTCCATCATCTATTACAAACCAGGAAATTGAATTTATTTCTGTGAATAGCGTAGAGTGTACGTCGAATGATGAACCAGCAGTGGAAGAAACGACTGAGCTAAACGATACCTCCGTAGAAAAAACGAGTCAATTAGACCAAGTTCCTCAACCTAAATTAAGAATTCTGTCTAGTGCAGAATTGGGTTCCAGATGGTGTCCTACACCTATGAATCCCGTTACGACTGTCGTTCAGTTTTCTTCTGCAATGACGTCACAGGATCTACCGATATATATTACTTCTGTCGGAACGTCAGCGACGCAAACCGTACATGCGACGTCCATGATTACTGTACCTGTATCTGCAACTACCGCAAAAGCGACATTTTCTAACAATACGAACACGGATGTAGTAAAATTGTCAACATCGGTGTATAGTGTTTTGTGCGGGATATATCATTTAATCAAAAACATTCGTACAACACCGACGAATGATTTTAATTACGATAAATACTTATGCACAGAATTTCAGAAACTATTGAAAAAACTGAACCTTGATAATTACATTGCATTAATAAAAGCAGTTATACTTGTACTTAATAGAGAAACGTCATTATCGCCACCATTATCTTTAACAGAGTTGCTGGGTTACTCATCTTTACTTAACAAGTTATATATTCGCAATTCTCGCAAGCTTAGACTAGATGGAAGGCCTACAGATCAGGAAATATCGCTCCAAGGTGTGCACTACAATGAACAAATTGAGAACACAGTTACATCTGTAGAATCTATGTTGCAATACTTATGGTCCACACATAAAAAATATATGAAATATACAGCATATTCTAAAGGAACACGGCAAAATCTTCAAGATAATGTCAACTTGCAAACTCAGACTAATTTTCAAAATAACACTTCAATGAATCCTATAGTTGCCAATAATCAGGTAACACCGAACGTTAGTGCAGTGCGAACACAAAATCCTATTATTCAGGAACAAATACGTTTAAATAGTCATGTTGCTCAACCACTGACGAATTTTCATGTTAGGCAACAATTATCACATCCTTCGATGGGTATGCACGAGCAAAGAAAGTTACATGCCTCTACCGTACCAGCGTCAAATCTAAGGTTTCCACATCAAAATGTCCTGCCAACCGTTACTCAGAGCATTCCTCAGATCAACCTTCAAAACGTTCCTAAAACCGTATCTCAGAATATCCCTAAAACCACTCCTCAGGATGTTTCTCAATCCACCCTTCAAAATGTTTCCCTAACCGCCTTTCAGAGATTTACTCAAACCGCCTTTCAGAAATTTACTCAAACCACACTTCAGAATGTTCCTCAAACCAGCCTTCAGAATGTTCCTCAAACCGCCCTACAGAATGTTCCTCAATCCACCCTTCAGAATGTTTCTCAAATCAGCCTACAGAATGTTCCTCAATCCACCCTTCAGAATGTTTCTCAAACCACCCTTCAGAATGTTTCTCAAATCAGCCTACAGAATGTTCCTCAATCCACCCTTCAGAATGTTTCTCAAACCACCCTTCAGAATGTTTCTCAAATCAGCCTACAGAATGTTCCTCAATCCACCCTTCAGAATGTTTCTCAAACCACCTATCAAAATGTTTCTCAAACCAGCCTTCAGAATGTTTCTCAAATCACCAATGTTCCTCAAAATATTCCGCAAAGATATTCATTATATAACGCTGGAAGGATACCGAGGTACCCAGTACCACAAAATATGCAACCGGCACATATTAATGTACAGAAAGCATGTGGGTCTACTGTAAATCAACCGTATCAATATGTAAGGCAACCACCTATGTACCATCCATCAATGTATAGGCAATCACCATCTGCGTATAACATGTCGCAGGGCGCACATTTACAAAATTCTCCACAAAATACGCAAAATTACATTCCGAAACCTGTACGAGATCTGAACACAGGCAATGCAAATGCATCGCAATTGGCGCCAAGCACTATGTCACAAAGTGAGCAAGTACTTGCGAATGCTGTTACAACGCGAACTACACAAAATTATACAATTAATAAATATGTATCGGCTCAACATGCACAGAATGTCCGTCAATCGAGAATGACAAATCCGACAGCTCTTACAACACAGACACAAAATCCGCAAATGTCATTAGAATCAATGACAAACATGTTTGGTATATTAAAATATTTGACTGATATTCAGAAGCTTGTGCTGATAGAGCAGATAGAGTATTACTTCAGGTGTACCAGTTGGTTGCAACAAGAGTTTACACCGCAACAGTGGCATCTTATTAACATGCAAAGAAACTTATTACTTCAATTTCAAAGGCTTTTGAAATGCTTGGTGGAGAAATCTGTGAAACAACTTTTGCCGGAAAAATGTGAAGAGAATGCTATTGAAACGAATGTAGTTACGAACATCTTGATCGAAGTTCCAAAAATACTAAAAATTACAGTAAAAGAAAATGACGGGATGCAATGCCAAGTTGAAGTACCTCAGACCAAACAAGAAGCAACGAATAACAATCAACACAACTTAGACATTGCTGTAACGCAGAGTCAGCTTGAAGAACGAAACGAAGTAGTTGACATGTCGCAGAATAAAGGTGTATCAAATGAAACAGAAGTACGGAATAGTAAAATATTTGATAAGAACGTTTTGGAGGAAAACATTCCGTCTCAGTCAAATATCCAAGACCCAACATTGAACAGTAATCATCAAAGACATGAAGCAGAAAGGGAATCGACGAATTTCGAGAACACCGAAGTACAGAATTTAGAGAGAAGCAGTAAAAATAATCTTCAGCAGTCAAGTCCACATTTAGTTACCGTAGAAGTTGGTCCTGATAAAGTAACTGTTATTGACACTAATAATATTGATATAGATAAACCAGGAACTGAAAAGGATAAGGAAATTGAAAATGATGTTCAAGTTGCCCGTACGTTAGAATCTCCAAATGAAAGACTTCGAAAAGATGAGGAAATTAAGAATGAAGATATTCAAGTTGCCAGTACGTTAGTATCTCCAAATAAAAGACTTCGAAAGGATGAGGAAATTAACAATGAAGATGTTCAAGTTGTCAATACGTTAGAATTTCAAAATAAAAGACTTCGAAAGGATGAGGAAATTAGAAAGGAAGAGGTTCAAATTACGAATGTGCTAGAATCTCCGAATAAAAACCTTAAAAGGGAGGATCAAGATATTGAAAATGTTGCTAGTACGTCAGAATCTGCAAATGATGAGGTAATATATTTAAAAGAATGCTCAAGTGATTTTGAATACATTAATACCGTAGTTGTCGATGACGATGATGTTTCATCAGAAGAAAGTGCGGGGTGTAAAATTACGGATATCAGAAGCATATCAGAAGAAATATTTAATGTTAATGTAGACGAAGAGATTAAGGAATGTTTGCGTTGTAGAAAACCTAGTACCGTTTTGTGCGGTAACTGCTTAGTCGCTAGATATTGTTCTGAAAAATGTTCAACCCGACATTGGAAATATCATTTTAAAGACTGTAATTCTGTAGATAGGAACTATTCATATTAAGTTGCGTTTCACAGTAAAATATGATCTCGACTCTGTTACATTAGGCAGTATTCATTGTTCTCGTTTTGTATTCAAGTATAAATATATTAATAAGGATGTTTATTATATTATTTTATAAATTACCACTTTTTTTAAGGAAAAAGAATAAAAATACTTATTGAAGAAAATAAATGTTGTTCTACCAAGTAACAATACATATTTAATTTTCAATTGCCTGTCTCATGTAAGTTTGTAATATGTAGCTGTTGCAGGTAGGTAGTTTCCAAATGAGTGAATCAATTCATTTTTATTAATGTTTCCTTTTAAATATTTATTTTATTGCCAATTCAGCAATACAAGTTAACTGCATTTACATAGATACAAACTAGATATTTATAATTTTACAAAACAATTACTCTTCGTAACCAATACCTGGTATGTAATTTTGTTTAGGATTATGAAATAATGAATGTTTACCATCTCCCCATGGAAAACGCTATATAATAAACAAGAATGATTTTAATAGTTTCATCTTAGTAATCTTAATTTTCAATTTGCAATTCTTACCTTGTTCATAATTTTCAAATATTGATGAGCAACGAATGGGGGATGTTCTTCATGAGGATGTTCCTGGTGTCTCAAGTAAACATTAAGCATTGCAAGCGCAATTGTTGGGAAAGCAACGAAAAAAGTAATATTTCTCCATAGTTTTATAGGACCTGAAATCCCAAGTAAATTAAATGTTATTCTTATATAACAATTCGTCACAACCTACAACAGCATTCGGAGATCTAACGATATTCTGATAGAGGCAAGCATACACGTATGAATAACATTCCTCGATCTTATAATAAATAATACTCCAAACTTGATGAAATAAAAAGTTAAAGATAAAGAAATATTGCACAGAAGGATCTACTGTCTTCATATCACAAATTTCCATCTCTTAAATAATATAGTGACATACCATCTCCGGTAACATGTGATCGTTGCTCTACTGTTTTTACGTACTGTTCCATATATTCTTACCTTGTTCATAATTTTCAAATATTGATGAGCAACGAATGGGGGATGTTCTTCATGAGGATGTTCCTGGTGTCTCAAGTAAACATTAAGCATTGCAAGCGCAATTGTTGGGAAAGCAACGAAAAAAGTAATATTTCTCCATAGTTTTATAGGACCTGAAATCCCAAGTAAATTAAATGTTATTCTTATATAACAATTCGTCACAACCTACAACAGCATTCGGAGATCTAACGATATTCTGATAGAGGCAAGCATACACGTATGAATAACATTCCTCGATCTTATAATAAATAATACTCCAAACTTGATGAAATAAAAAGTTAAAGATAAAGAAATATTGCACAGAAGGATCTACTGTCTTCATATCACAAATTTCCATCTCTTAAATAATATAGTGACATACCATCTCCGGTAACATGTGATCGTTGCTCTACTGTTTTTACGTACTGTTCCATATAATTACGCGTAAACACTCGTCCAACTTGCCCAGCCTTGAGCAATTTCACCATGTTCATCGTCGGGGCAGCCATTATTACTACTACAACCTGACTGACTGCGACGACTGCGACCACTGCGACTGCTAGTGCTTGCTAGTGCTACTCTGCTACTTATCGTTAGGTTAAGATAATGGTATGAATATAGCTGTGAATGTTTCCGGCGGGCTTGGAGGGCCTTCTTTAAACATGGGAATAGTGAGAATGCAAAAAAATGGATGTTCCATTTGTTCAAGATTGTTCTAATTTAATGCTGGGAAAACTTAGTCACTTTGGACGGGAAATACATTGTTAGGAAATATTCTAAGAGTTCTTTTTAAGAGATCGTAGCTAATTTATAGAGAAGCATGTACAGCTTAAAAAGGAAGGTCAGTCTATTATCCGTAATGAATGGCCTGTCTATACGAACGAAAATCTTAAGGGTCGTAAATTTAAGTAGGTCCCAAAGGTTTGTTTGTATCACATGAAACCGTTTTCAACGGACTTTCCCATGTGCATGTGCGTACCACATAGATGAATCAATGCGGTGGGTCCCAACCCCAACGTGTTCCAACGGTTTGAGATGCTACCATCAACATCCACTAACCGGAGGGGTGTGGAATAAGTGTAGGAAAAGAAGCATCAGTTAACAGGGTGGAATTTAGCGTCCTATTGGACCCAAGATCACGAGAAAGGAGGCTTACCCCCAAAAGAATGGATCGTGGAAGGGATCATCGAGGGTTACTTAAAAAACACTCCATGGGTACCAACCTACTCCTACTTTCAAAGTTAACCGCTAGAATTTGTGCTGGCCACTGGTTGGCTAACGACATCGACTCTCTTCACTTTGTTGAGATACTCGTACGTAATTATTCTATCCTCCTAAAGATGCCGCTTGATGTATCTCATACTGTCTCATACTCATACCAGTGAATTCAACGTTATTCGTAGCTGATAAAGATAAAGCTTATCAACTCTTGGCTGGTATACAGCAAAAGAGAGAAAATTTTAGCGCTTCGTCAATGCATGTTTGACGGAAACATAATTTAGACAATTGAAGTAAATGAATAGGCAGTAGTGAAAATCATAGGTATGTTAAATGGCAATAAACTCTTCTATGGAATTTTTGAACGATTAGTTAGATGTTTATGTCTCACGATGTGTTAAAAAATTAATCGATTTTGCTTTTCTACCAGAAGGTTGGAAGTATAAATGTTTCAACGGTATAAATCGAACTTTTAATCGCACAATGACTTGAAATGTATCAAGGCATTGATAGATGGTTAGATAAAATTGTGATAGTTTTCTGATAATCGAGTATTGATTATATTTAAGTCGGTAGGTTAGTTTTACGAGGATGGAACGTTTATAAGAAAATAAGCCTAGCCTTGTGCGTCATCTGTCTAATGTTGGGTCACGTGACCGCTTATGCATACGTTTTAACTTCTAATAATTTAAATTGCACGTTACCTTAACAGTCGAGGTACAATGACATTAGTATTTCTTTCAAGTAAGAAAAAATATTAGTTATTACGGTATACAGCAGTATAACTAATATTGTAACATTAGAATTAGAGTCAAAGGAAATTAATTACTATTCGGATATAAGTCTTGTAAATTTTAGCTCACTGTAATTCATAACTAGCCTTATAAGCTATGTCAGCACATAATATGTAGCCTTATAAGTTATCGGAATAATTTAATTGGTCATCGTTTGTGAATATAGCGATAAGCTTTTTTTTTACATGAGAAATATACGTATATAATATATTTATCATTAATATATACGTGTATATGCACATACCACCTTACTCCCAAAATAATTTTATTCAGTAGATATTATTTTCAAATGTATCTGAATATTGAAAAATTAAATAAATAAAATACATTTACACTGAAGACTATGCACTTTATTATAATTTTATAATGCGTTTAATGTTAGACATAAACGAATACGATAATTATACTTGTTATATTTATTTAATCAGGGCAATATAATCTTAGTAGTCTAACATTTTCAGTTCGAATGGGTAATTCTGCTACAAAAAATAGTTGTCACAGCAATCAGAAGTATACTAGTCAGGTATACGTTGTTTAATATTGTTTAACATGAGCTTAAATAAAGTTTAAGTACCTCGTTCATGCTCACAAAAAGTAATCCTATTTTATATAGTACAGTCTTAGTGATATAATTGGAGGAAGTTGTATTGGGACACCACAGCCTGCACGCAAGCAAAATAAATCATGGTCACGTGCTTCCTGCAAAAGGTAGATTTTAATTAATTACAGCTAACAGATATATAACCAATGATATGTGACCAATTGCAATTGTTATATTTTGCAGTTGGAGTGAAGGTACACTGTACGATCCATTGGGCAGTTCAAAAACACTATGGCCAGTATCACGTTCCCAGGCTATGTTCCTTCCAGAATTTCAAATAAGACAAATATCACTGCAGACCGCTTATACATTTGTAAGCACAATAGCCAAAGGAGCTTATGGAAAGGTATATAAAATTCTGAAACAAGATACTGGCCAATTGTTCGCCTTGAAAGTAATCAGCAAGGCAAAAGTCGTAACAGAAAATGGTGTAATACAAGCTAAACAAGAAGTGAGTATACATATAAGCCAAGTGTTTATGTCCTGTTTATAGCGATATCTAAACTTATATGCATTGTCAGGTGTCTATACAAAAGCTGGTTGGTCATCATCCATTTATATTAGACGTAAATCATAGATGGCAAGGGAGGAAGACATTGTACATACGTAAGTCTATTGCACTTTTCTATTTTTCATTAGATATATTCATAAATCATTTCACTGGTTCATGGATTTCAGTAACTGATTATATCGGCGGAGGGGAATTATTCTCACTAGTTGATCAATGTGGCTCCCTGCCAGAAAACGTAGTTAGAATTTATGTGGCAGAAGTCGCTCTTGCTATTGGTAAGATTGTACGTTATTTCGAATTGATAATTAAATGTAACGTAGATGTTACAAGTGTTTTTTGTTTTAAAGACTTTTTGCACAACGCTGGTGTGGTACACAGGGACATAAAAGCTACAAATGTTCTATTGGATGACGAAGGCCACGCTGTGATAATTGACTTTGGTCTTGCAAAGTGGTTAAGCCATACTGAAAGAACTAATACGCTTTGTGGTACTCCAGAATACATGGGTAGGTACTGACAAGCCATTGGCGAAGTGCAGTGTTCATACTCGTATATTATATTTTTTGTTGTAACTTGTAGCACCCGAAATATTCAACAGACAGTATTATGGACAAGAGGTCGACTGGTGGTCCTTGGGAGTGTTGGCCTGCTTCATGCTTACAAATCAGGTATGTGCAACTTATTTGTTTATTGAAAAATGATAATTGGTGTTATAATTATTTCATCTAGCTGAAATAAAAAAAAGATAAAATGCGAAATGTAGAATGTAAATCTCAATTTATTAAGATAAAATTGCCAGCACATTAGATGTGTATTTTAAGTTAAGGTATTAGTAGCTGTTCATTATTAGCATTCTAAAAGAAGAATAGTCCAACTGACTCCGTGGCGCAACGGTAGCGCGTCTGACTCCAGATCAGAAGGTTGCGTGTTCAAATCACGTCGGGGTCAACAGTTCATTTTTATCATTTTCTTTTCGAAATTAAACAATTTCTCGTAATATAAAATCAATTTTCTGTATTCCAGTACCAATTACGTTTAATTTTCTTTTATTTTTGTTGTATCAAGGGATGATAGCATTCCGAAAGCAATTAATACATTTAGAGGAATGTCTTAGTGGTTAAAAAGTATTTTCATTACTTTAATAGAATTTATTAATAAGCATTATATTATCTCGATATTTAAGAATATTAAAAAAGCTG